CTGGTTCGAATCCAGGCTCTGTCGGAGCCGGCTGCGACCGGGAGACTCATGGGCGGCGCACAATTGGCCCAGCGTCGTCCAGGGTAGGGGAGGGAATGGCCGGCAGGGATGTAGCTCAGTTGGTAGAGCATGGCATTTGCAACGCCAGGGTTGTGGGTTCGATTCCCACGGGGGGCCAGTATAAAAAAAAAAAATGTAATCACTAACTGTAAGTCGCTCTGGATAAGAGCGTCTGCTAAATGACTAAAATGTAAATGAAAAACAGAGGTGTTTCGGCCCTCCAGGACCGGAATGGAAGAACCCTGCTCTAGGATTACCTGAGGCTAACTTATTGCATAGTTCATGTTTATGTGAATAAAGCCAGTAGACGTTAAACTCTAGAATCAATATAGTTGGGTCTTCATGTTGTGAGATGGGAGAGAGTTGCGTCCCAAAATGGCATTCTCTATTCTCTACATAGTGCACTAATTTTGACCAGATACCTATGGGCCGTGGGTCAAAAGTAGTGCACTATTTACGGAATAGGGTACCATATGAGATGGGAGACAGAGTATCTCTTACAGACACCAGTGAGATAGATGAGGGGACTCCGAAGCCCAGAGGTCTGCCTGACAGACTGTGTTTGCTTGTTAGCTGCTATCTGTATTGATGTTCCCTTGGTGGCTGCTGCTGTGCTGCATTAAATGATTGTGTCGTTATGGTCCTTTTCCCCTGTCACATACTATCAAAGACTACGAGCATGGAAAATAACCATAATAACAATATGCCATTTAGCAGACGCTTTTATCCAAAGCGACTTACAGTCGTGCGTGCATAATTTTTTTGTGTATGGGTGGTCCCGGGGATCGAACCCACTACCTTGGCGTTACAAGCGCCGTGCTCTACCAGCTGAGCTACAGAGGACCACAACCATGGCACCCTGAGTAGCATCATGTATCATGTATCATGACAGAACACCATGAATTTAGGTATTCCATGGTTAGCCATGTACACTGTAGCTCAGTTGGCAGAGCATGGCGCTCGCAAACGCCAGGGTTGTGGGTTAGATTCCCACGGGAGGGGGGGCAGTATGAAAAAATGTATGCACTCACTAACTGTAAGTCGCTCTGGATAAGAGCGTCTGCTAAATGACTAAAATGTACATTGTTTTCTTCCTGTTGAAATATCCAAGATGAGCTTTTACAACATCTACATAGGCCCTCCGCTAACGTGCCGTGGGACACACCTTCCACGTGGTTCATTATTTACCATAGAACACATAGACCCTTGTTGACTATTCTCACGTAATATCCATTAGCCTCTACAACATCTACACAGGCCCTTCTTACTGTTGTAATGTAACTGAAGTGTATTTGTGAGCTGAGGGGGGAAAGAGACCACAGACACAACATTGATATAATTAGTGTCATCAATTTTAATTCGTTTTGTTTTCACTTATTTAAATAAGACAGAATTAAGGCGGGGTACATTTTTTTTTTTTTTTTTTTTTTTACATGAGACATATTGTTGATACACGCAAAATCATTGGTTGTTAGTCGTATTACCAATAAAACATATCCTTTTTTTTTTTTTCGAACACAAGAAATCTCCCCCTCTTGTTAAAATACATTATATTAAAGAACTAATTACAATCAACACTTGGGATTGGGACATAACCATCCTGTGTTGATGAAATGCAAAACTTCCAAGTGCTACGAACGGGAGAAACCATTGATATCACAGGGGAGGGGGGTTTACTCAAGGCTGATACCTAGAGTGGCTAACACCTGAAATGCCACTTTATCCCCCCTCCCCTGTGATATCAATGGTTTCTCCCGTTGGTAGCACTTGGAAGTTTTGCATTTCATCCTTTCTTGTTGTGAATGTTCTGACAACAACCTTCGCTGTGACAAGGGAAACCAACCAGCTAAATGTGTTTACTCATAGTGAATAGGGTGCTATTTAAGACGCAGCCGTGACAGTGAGAAGGTTATTCCTGCTTACCCAAGGTGCCAAATCACCATAATACCAGGTGTCCCTGTCAGTCAGAGTCCTGTCAGGGTCGTATTCATTAGGGCACACTGTAGCAAAATGCTGTGCAAAGGAAAACAAATCCTTATTGGACAAGCTCAGGTAGTCCCTTCCTGTTTCAGTCCCTTTTTCTTTCCGTTTGGCGTCTAATGAATACAGCCCACGTGTGACTAGTCAGTAATCTGCTGATGCAGCAGTCCCGTCGAGTCCTACGTGTTAGGGGGCAAGGGTAGACCCACTCCTGTGGTCCTGTTCTGTTTGTGATCCTCCATGTGATCCGCTACGGGGCGGAGGGAGAGATGTTGGAATGATGTCGGTGGCCTTGGTGACCCCTTGCCTTGAAATACAACGCCTCCAGAGGGTTGCAGTGCAACGGTTACATTTACTGATAATAGTTTTTACTGTATAACATAAACAGGCTATTATAGTGTGTTGCGTTTTAGTGTGTGGCGGCGGTCTTACTGTTACTATGCCGATTATGGAGAAGCGTGAGGTTTCTGTGTGAACGACACCTGTTTCAGCCAATCAAAGTCAGTCCAATACTGTGAGCCACAGGAATATGGAATGAATCAAAGAAGTGCAAAATCAAGTGAAACTTGATCAAATACAAAATCTAAAGCAAACTGAAATGTGCATGTGCATGTAGAGTATTGTATGCATAATACAGGCCTTGCTTCAGCAAGAGTTTGGTCATAAAAAAAAAAAAACCCTACTCCTATCGTCCGATCCCAACCTCGATCCCAACCTCACGTCTGACTGCAACATTCTCTCAACCATCTCTTGTGGAATGCCTCTTTTTATGAATCTTTCCTATTGGCTACCTTGATCGTCATCGTCGTTGTGGTACACACAGATGTTTGTCTCTACAACATTAGTGACAACAACCCCTTGGTTTCCTATAGATCTCTCAGAATGTATTATTTCTACGTGCTGTATTTGATGTCCCCAGCCATTGTTAGTTTGTTGTTGGTGCCGGACAGTCGACATATCAGTATTAGAAACGGTAACATTGTGTCCCATTGGTTAACACATAAACCTACACAAACTTTCTCAAAAGTCAACACTCTGTCTCTGTCTCTCTCTCTTCTACCTCTCTACCTGCCAATCTGTACATTCATTTGAAACAAAGCAGTACATAAAACAACATACAGTAACTGTATATACAGTACATATAGGTGACAGATGTATTATTGCACTGCGATAGGTAAAGAATCTTTGTTTTTTTCTCTCCCCTGTTCATTAAAAAGGGTACACTGTACTGTAGTGTAAGTTTTTTTTTGGCCATTTGTGATGTCATCAATACCACAGTAACGTCAAATGTTCCTTGATCCTTTGCATGGTAAGGTTATGGAACGGTAGAGAAACTACACTGTAACCAGAGCCATATCTATACAACGTCTCGTGTAACTATATGGCTCTGACTGTACCCATTCTATCATAACATGCTCATTCAGAGTGAAGAGTATAGTCCGTCTTGGTTTTTCATCATCGAATAACTATCACGTCAACTTTCGAAGGGATTTGTTGATGAAAGCGTAGTCCGGTAAGCTATAATGTTATATTTACAAACTCCTATACCTAATAATAAAATAATTGGTCATTTAGCAGACGCTCTTATCCAGAGCGACTTACAGGAGCAATTAGGGTTAAGCGCCTTGCTCAAGGGCACATTGACAGATTTTTCACCTGGTGGGCTCGGGGATTAGAACCAGCGACCTTTCGGTTACTGGCACAACGCTCTTACCCACTAAGCTACCTGCCTCCCCGTAGCCACCACTGCTACTACGGTCCTGAAACTGACCCATCAATACTCTGTCAGCGCGTCCTAAATGGCACTATGTTCCCTATTTAAGTGCACTACTTTTGAGCAGGGCCCATAAGGCTTGGGTCAAAAGTAGTGCACTATATAGGGAACAGGGTGTCATTTAGAATACGGTCTCTCTCTCTCTCTCTCTCTCTCTCTCTCTCTCTCTCTCTCTCTCTCTCTCTCTCTCTCTCTCTCTCTCTCTCTCTCTCTCTCTCCTCTCGTTTGACCTGTGTCAGACCTGCAAACATCATGTCAACCTATGGTTTAACTGCATTCCTTTCTACTCCAATGTATACCCAGCAACATTAAAACAATATATATACAAAATATCTGCAAAAGCCTATCTACGACATCACATTATACATTTCTTATGTGGGGGAGAAAAAGTGTAACACTGTTTTTGAAAACACTGCATCATTCCAGATATTGTCTTTGGTATTTTTCTCTAGCTCGTATGCTTTTTTTTGGTACAAATTAGAATAAACATTTTTTTTTAAGTAAACATAAGTAAGCTACTGTAATAATTTGATTATTCAAGGAACTCTTGTCATAGTCAAATGCAAGTAAGCTAGTTTTACATTTCAGCAATGCCTGAATACAACAACACATTTTGTTTTTCAATTACAAGGTCCATATCTAAAGATGCAGACAAGTCATTTTGTATTTTAGAGTCCCTTCAATTTCCTAAATGTATAAAGTATTTTATAAGATGTAAGAATGAGAGGCAGAGGAAACAGTGAATTGTCCCTTCAAGCTCCTCTCAGTAATCCCACTGTTGAGCTTGCTCTGAGCTTGATGGTCCTGGACTCTTCTATAGCCAGCCAGCCAAATCAGTGGGTTTTACTGGACTTTAGAATCACCAGACGGGTTGCTTCTACGTCCCAGCTGTGTTGTAAGGGCATCAGGTTATTTACTGTGTGGTCAAACATTATTGTCCCCTACTCCTGGATGCTCCAAAGCAACAAACACACAAGGTCAGTTCCTTTCAAAGTCCTTTTCATATCTCCCCTGTGGGGCAAGCGCTGAGCTGGCCCTCCATCTTAGATGCTCCTATACGTCAATGAATTTAAGAATTGCCCAAAACCCACCAGTCTCTTTATCAATGTCCTGTCTGTTTTATTTTCTCTTATTTGGGCAAGCTCAATGGTCCTTTCTCCTGACCCTCTCTCCCCGGCTCCCCCTATAGGTCGGTGCCAACACTGCCCCTCTTCACCCTCAGGCTGCCGCCCCAGCCCCGGGGACAGGTGTTGTGGGTACGCTGCAGTCCTGGAGACCTCAGCCCAGAGTCCTCCGACTCCACCGAAGCATCCGAGTCAGTGAGGGACCTGGTGTTGTAGAGCCTTACCGGGGACCGGATCACCCCTGTAGGGGTGGGAGGAGGGCTGGCGAAGTGGGGAGACTGGCACCCCATGGCCCTGGACTGGTAGGGACTGAAGGGGGGTTTGGAGCTGCTGCTGCTGTGGTGGTGCTGGTGGTCGTAGCCCTGGTGATGCTGGTGGGTGGTGTTGCCACCTAGTGGGGAGATTGGGAGATTGTGGCCGCTCAGAGCACCTGGGGACGGGCTGTTTTTACGTTTGGCCGCATTGATGATGTTCTTGGCTAACAGGCGATGGTTTGCCTTGGAGTTGTTTGGGCTGGGGCTGACGATGGGAGACTGGCATCTGGAACCCCAGGGAGGGGACAGGGGTGAGGGGGAGAGAGGAGAGGTGATGGTGCCTGGGTGAGAGGGTCTGGAGGAGGAAGAGTTGGAGATGGTGGTGGAGAAAGGCTTGGTTGTCTGGTTGATGTTAGGGGATTGACAGCGGGACCCCCAGGGAGATCTAGGCGATACAGGTGAGGTGGCAATGGATGGTTTAGGCCTGGATAAAGAGGCTGTGGAGAAGGGTTTGGTGGTCTGGTTGACCACCGCGGGGGACTTGCACCTCGTCTCCCAGGGTGGGGAGAAAGGGGAGGTGGCTGTGGAGGTGGCCGTCACCTGGTGGAGGGGCCTGGAAGAGGAGGAGGAGGTGATGGTGGTCTGGGGGGCTGGGGACCAGACTCCACTGTGGGTGGGGGGTCCCTCTGGGCTGCTGAACCGACGGCTGAACTGCGGTGTCCTGGTGGGAGTGGGAGTGGGAGTGGGGGTGGGGGTGGGGGTGGTGGTGGGGGTCAGGGTCGGAGGAGAATCCTTCCTCATCTGTGGAGACAGAATAAAGAGTAAAAAGACATGTGAAAGTAAAGAGACACTATGATAATGTTAAACTAGGGTAAAGAGACACTATGATAATGTCAAACCAGGGTAAAGAGACACTATGATAATGTTAAACCAGGGTAAATAGACACTATGATAATGTTAAACTAGGGTAAAGAGACATGAATGTAAGACACTATGATAATGTTAAACTAGGGTAAAGAGACAATATGATAATGTTAAACTAGGGTAAAGAGACATGAATGTGAGACACTATGATAATGTTAAACTAGGTTAAAGAGACATGAATGTAAGATGCTATGATAATGTTAAACTAGAGTAGAGAGGTTGGTACTGTAGATCTGGGTTCCCTAGCCTCCTGAAGAGCTTGGTAGGTCTGCTGTTCCCTAGCCTCCTGAAGAGCTTGGTAGGTCTGCTGTTCCCTAGGCTCCTGAAGAGCTTGGTAGGTCTGCTGTTCCCTAGGCTCCTGAAGAGCTTGGTAGGTCTGCTGTTCCCTAGCCTCCTGAAGAGCTTGGTAGGTCTGCTGTTCCCTAGCCTCCTGAAGAGCTTGGTAGATCTGCTGTTCCCTAGGCTCCTGAAGAGCTTGGTAGGTCTGCTGTTCCCTAGCCTCCTGAAGAGCTTGGTAGGTCTGCTGTTCCCTAGCCTCCTGAAGAGCTTGGTAGGTCTGCTGTTCCCTAGGCTCCTGAAGAGCTTGGTAGGTCTGCTGTTCCCTAGGCTCCTGAAGAGCTTGGTAGGTCTGCTGTTCCCTAGGCTCCTGAAGAGCTTGGTAGGTCTGCTGTTCCCTAGGCTCCTGAAGAGCTTGGTAGGTCTGCTGTTCCCTAGCTCCTGAAGAGCTTGGTATGGTCTGCTGTTCCCTAGCCTCCTGAAGAGCTTGGTAGGTCTGCTGTTCCCTAGGCTCCTGAAGAGCTTGGTAGGTCTGCTGTTCCCTAGGCTCCTGAAGAGCTTGGTAGGTCTGCTGTTCCCTAGCCTCCTGAAGAGCTTGGTAGGTCTGCTGTTCCCTAGCCTCCTGAAGAGCTTGGTAGGTCTGCTGTTCCCTAGCCTCCTGAAGAGCTTGGTAGGTCTGCTGTTCCATAGGCTCCTGAAGAGCTTGGTAATGTAGATCTGCTGTTACAAGACTGGACTCGAACCAGGATCTCTAGTGGCACAGCCTTAGACCACTCAAAGTTTATTGGTCACGTACACAGTTTTGCAGATGTTATCGCAGGTGCCGCGAAATGCTTATGTTTCCAGCTCCAACAGTGCAGTAATATCTAGCATTACAATAAAAATACACACATAATCCAAACGATTTTTTAAAAAGTACAAGAAATTAAGACATATCAGAAAGAGCAATGTCAGAGTCCAGAATATAAATATACAGTACTAGTCAAAAGTTTGGACACACCTACTCATTCAAGGGATTTTTTTTACGTTGTAGAATAATAGTGAAGACATCAGAACTATGCAATAACACATATGGAATCATGTAGTGCTTGGGTGTTTCAGTGAAACGTAAGTGAGGGAGGCCCCGCTCTCTCGCTTTCCCAGATGTTTAGTTAATTTCATTCCGATCTCCTTTGCATTATTGTAGCCATTTTCTGTAGCCTGTCAACTATGTGTCTGTCTATCCCTGTTCTCTCCTCTCCGCACAGGCTATACAAACGCCTCACACCGCGTGGCTGCTGCCACTCTAATCTGGTCGTCCCTACACGCACAACCCACGTGGAGTTCCAGGTCTCCGGCAGCCTCTGGAACTGCCGTTCTGCGGCTAACAAGGCAGAGTTCATCTCAGCCTATGCTACCCTCCAGTCCCTCGACTTCTTGGCGCTGACGGAAACATGGATTACCACAGAAAACACTGCTACTCCTACTGCTCTCTCCTCGTCTGACCATGTGTTCTCGCATACCCCGAGAGCATCTGGTCAGCGGGGTGGTGGCACAGGAATCCTCATCTCTCCCAAGTGGACATTCTCTCTTTCTCCCCTGACCCATCTGTCTATCTCCTCATTTGAATTCCATGCTGTCACAGTCACTAGCCCATTCAAGGTTAACATCCTTATCATTTATCACCCTCCAGGTTCCCTTGGAGAGTTCATCAATGAGCTTGACGCCTTGATAAGTTCCTTTCCTGAGGATGGCTCACCCCTCACAGTTCTGGGTGACTTTAACCTCCCAACGTCTACCTTTGACTCATTTCTCTCTGCCTCCTTCTTTCCACTCCTCTCCTCTTTTGACCTCACCCTCTCACCGTCCCCCCCTACTCACAAGGCAGGCAATACGCTTGACCTCATCTTTACTAGATGCTGTTCTTCTACTAATCTCACTGCAACTCCCCTCCAAGTCTCCGACCACTACTTTGTATCCTTTTCTCTCTCGCTCTCCTCCAACACTACTCACTCTGCCCCTACTCAGATGGTAATGCGCCGTTGCAACCTTCGCTCTCTCTCTCCCGCTACTCTCTCCTCTTCCATCCTATCATCTCTTCCCTCTGCTCAATCCTTCTCCCTCCAATCTCCCGATTCTGCCTCCTCAACCCTCCTCTCCTCCCTTTCTGCATCCTTTGACTCTCTATGTCCCCTATCCTTCCGGCCGGCTCGGTCCTCCCCTCCTGCTCCGTGGCTTGACGACTCATTGCGAACTCACAGAACAGGGCTCCGGGCAGCCGAGCGGAAATGGAGGAAAACTAGACTCCCTGCGGACCTGGTCTCTTTTCACTCCCTCCTCTCTACATTTTCTTCCTCTGTTTCTGCTGCTAAAGCCACTTTCTACCACTCTAAATTCCAAGCATCTGCCTCTAACCCTAGGAAGCTCTTTGCCACCTTCTCCTCCCTGCTGAATCCTCCTCCCCCTCCCCCCCTCCTCCCTCTCTGTGGATGACTTCGTCAACCATTTTGAAAATAAGGTTGACGACATCCGATCCTCGTTTGTTAAGTCAAATGACACTGCTGGTCCTGCTCACACTGCCCTACCCTATGCTTTGACTTCTTTCTCCCCTCTCTCTCCAGATGAAATCTTGCGACTTGTGACGGCCGGCCGCCCAACAACATGCCCGCTTGACCCTATCCCCTCCTCTCTTCTCCAGACCATTTCCGGAGACCTTCTCCCTTACCTCACCTCCCTCATCAACTCATCCTTGACCGCTGGCCATGTCCCTTCCGTCTTCAAGAGAGCGAGAGTTGCACACCTTCTCAAAAAACCTACACTCGATCCCTCCGATGTCAACAACTACAGACCAGTATCCCTTCTTTCTTTTCTCTCCAAAATTCTTGAGGGTGCCGTCTTTAGCCAACTCTCTTGCTATCTCTCTCAGAATTACCTTCTTGATCCAAACCAGTCAGGTTTCAAGACTGGTCATTCAACTGAGACTGCTCTTCTCTGTGTCACGGAGGCTCTCCGCACTGCTAAAGCTAACTCTCTCTCCTCTGCTCTCGTCCTTCTAGACCTATCTGCTGCCTTTGATACTGTGAACCATCAGATCCTCCTCTCCACCCTCTCTGACAGGTCACTCCTACCAGGTGGCGTGGCGAGAAGCTGTCTCCGCACCCCGTGCTCTCACCACTGGTGTCCCCCAGGGCTCAGTTCTAGGCCCTCTCCTATTCTCGCTATACACCAAGTCACTTGGCTCTGTCATATCCTCACATGGCCTCTCCTATCATTGCTACGCAGACGGCACACAATTAATCTTCTCCTTTCCCCCTTCTGATAACCAGGTGGCGAATCGCATCTCTGCATGTCTGGCAGACATATCAGTGTGGATGACGGATCACCACCTCAAGCTGATCCTCGGCAAGACGGAGCTGCTCTTCCTCCCGGGGAAGGACTGCCCGTTCCATGATCTCGCCATAACGGTTGACAACTCCATTGTGTCCTCCTCCCAGAGTGCGAAGAGCCTTGGCGTGCCCCTGGACAACACCCTGTCGTTCTCCGCTAACATCAAGGCGGTGACCCGATCCTGTAGGTTCATGATCTACAACATTCGCAGAGTACGACCCTGCCTTACACAGGAAGCGGCACAGGGCCTAATCCAGGCACTTGTCATCTCCCGTCTGGATTACTGCAACTCGCTGTTGGCTGGGCTCCCTGTATGTGCCATTAAACCCCTACAACTCATCTAGAACGCCGCAGCCCGTCTGGTGTTCAACCTTCCCAAGTTCTCTCACGTCACCCCGCTCCTCCGCACACTCCACTGGCTTCCAGTTGAAGCTTGCATCTGCTACAAGACCATGGTGCTTGCCTACGGAGCTGTGAGGGGAACGGCACCTCCATACCTTCAGGCTCTGATCAGTCCCTACACCCAAATGAGGGCATTGCGTTCATCCACCTCTGGCCTGCTGGCCCCCCTACCTCTTCGGAAGCACAGTTCCCACTCAACCCAGTCAAAACTGTTCGCTGCTCTGGCACCCCAATGGTGGAACAAGCTCCCTCACGACGCCAGGACAGCGGAGTCACTCACCACCTTCCGGAGACACTTGAAACCCCACCTCTTTAAGGAATACCTGGGATAGGAAAAAGTAATCATTCTACCCCCCCCCCCCCCCCCCCCCCCTTATCCCAACCCAAAAAAATTAATAAAAATACAAATAAAAAAATTGTAAAGTGGTTGTCCCACTGGCTATCATAAGGTGAATGCACCAATTTGTAAGTCGCTCTGGATAAGAGCGTCTGCTAAATGACGAAAATGTAAAATGTAAATGTAAGTCGCTCTGGATAAGAGTGTCTGCTAAATAATGTAAATGTAAATGTAATGTAGTAACCAAAAAAGTGTTAATCAAATCAAAATATATTTTATATTTGAGATTCTTCAAATAGCCACCCTTTGCCTTGATGACAGCTTTGCACACTCTTGGCATTCTCTCAACCAGCTTCTCCTAGAATGCTTTTCCAACTGTCTTAAAGGAGTTCCCACATATGCTGAGCACTTGTTGGCTGCTTTTCCTTCACTCTGCCGTCCGACTCATCCCAAACCATCTCAATTGGGTTGAGGTCGGGGGATTGAGGCCAAGTCATCTGATGCAGCACTCCATCACTCTCCTTCTTGGTAAAATAGCCCTTCCACAGCCTGGAGGTGTGTTGGGTCATTGTCCTGTTGAAAAACAAATGATAGTCCAAACCAGATGGGATGGCATATCGCTGCAGAATGCTGTGGTAGCCATGCTGATTAAGTGTGCCTTGAATTCTAAATAAATCACAGACAGTGTCACCAGCAAAGCACCCCCACACCATAACACCTCCTCCTCCATGCTTTACAGTGGGAACTACACATGCGGAGATCATCCGTTCACCCACACCGCGTCTCACAAAGACACGGCGGTTTGAACCAAAAATCTCCAATTTGGACTCCAGACCAAAGGACAAATTTCCACCGGTCTAATGTTCATTGCTCGTGTTTCTTGGCCCAAGCTGGTCTCTTCTTATTATTGGTGTCCTTTAGTAGTAGTTTCTTTGCAGCAATTGGACCATGAAGGCCTGATTCACACAGTCCCCTCTGAACAGATGATGTTGAGATGTGTCCGTTACTTGAACTCTGTGAAGCATTTATTTGGACTGCAATTTCTGAGGCTGGTAACTCTAATGAACGTATCCTCTGCAGCAGAGGTAACTCTGGGTCTTCCATTCCTGTGGCGGTCCTCAAGAGAGCCAGTTTCATCATAGCACTTGGTGGTTTTTGCGACTGCACTTGAAGAAACTTTCAAAGTTCTTGAAATGGTCCGTATTGACTGACCTTCATGTCTTAAAGTAATGATGGACTGTCGTTTCGCTTTGCTTATTTGAGCTGTTCTTGCCATAATATGGACTTGGTCTTTTACCAAATAGGGCTATCTTCTGTATACCCCCCCTACCTTGTCACAACACAACTGATTGGCTCAAACGCATTAAGAAGGAAAGAAATTCTACAAATTAACTTTTAAGAAGGCACACCTGTTAATTGAAATGCATTCCAGGTGACTACCTCATGAAGCTGGTTGAGAGAATGCCAAGATTGTGCAAAGCTGTCATCAATGCAAAGGTTGGCTATTTGAAGAATCTCAAATATAAAATATATTTTGATTTGTTTAACACTTTTTTGGTTACTACATGATTCCATATGTGTTATTTCATAGTTTTGATGTCTTCACCCTTATTCTACAATGTAGAAAATAGTAAAAATAAAGAAAAACCTTTGAATGAGAAGGTGTGTCCAAACCTTTGACTGGTAATGTTTGTGAATGGTGTGTATAGACAGGATAGACTGATCTAAGGTCAGTTTTGACAGATTGCGTTCTACTCCATAATGGTGAAGGTTAGGATTTGGAAAGAGTAGGCTGATCCTGGATCTGTACCTACCTAGGCCCTAAGGGTAACTTGTACCTTGAGCCTGGAGTGTTTTCATGCCAGACAAGAAAGGCCAGTGGGTCATACCATTCTTTTGAATGTAGGGGCCATGGGTCAAACCATTTGTCTGAATGCTTTTAACCCTCGGGGGGTTTTAGAAAGCTAAGACCCTTCCTTCACAAAAACCAGGTTGTGGAATTCAGTGTGATCACTCCTATTGTACAGGGTGTTTTCTTTCCCTTCAGGGAGAATCTTTTAAAACTGTTACTTCTTAAAAAGGCTGATTGTTGGTTTTGCATTGATGCAAGCTGTTGTACACTCTGCCGGCTCTTTGAGTTTTAAACTGGGTGTTAGCCTTCAGGAATATACATTTGTTCTGTGTCTATTAACTACTTTCAAATGTTTCCCTGCAGAGATATACATTTGGTCAATGTACTATATGCTTCAGCAAACTATGGCAATAGAAAAGCATTATGGAAAAGTCAGGGCAGCTAAAGAACAGAACGCGTTATAAAGGTAGATGAGTGGAAAACAGCAGGAAGAAACAGAAGACAAGAAGGAAAGGAAAGAGAAAGGATAAAGCTTTAATCAGGAGAGAAACAGAAACAGAGAAGTTTATAGATACAGAAACAGAAATCAGTGCATAAATGAATAGAGAAACAGAGAAACCATAGTCCTTGTTGTCAGCTAGCTGGTTTAGTGATCAACAATGTGAATCTGAAAACACTCTAAAGATATTTGTATTCTATATTGTTGTTTCTACGAATCAGAAATGAGTGCGTCAGAGATAAAAAGAAATTAGGAAACGTTTCATTGTTATTATTGACCACTAGCTCCAAACACTTGTATGTTTTTGAGCCTCCCCTATTTGGTTTTAGTGATCAACATCGTAAATCTGAAAACACTCTTTGAGTTATATTTTCATTCTATGTTGTTCTATGTATAAACACTTCACCTGAAATTATTGCTCAGTCGGGGTCGTAAAACCATTTAAGTTACATTACGTCAAACGGCATGCAGCAGTCTGTAAATGACTGACATCAATGGCCTCAGAGCCAGGGCTCACAGGACAGTGGTAGTAGTATATAATTTGGTAGTTCTCGTCTAAGGGCAGAGAAACTGAGAAATAGAAGTCTAGGGATGCATCCCAAATTGCACCCTATTTCCTATGTAGTGCACTACTTTTGACCAGAGCCCTATGGGCCCTGGTAGTGCACTATCAAGGGAATAGGGCGCCATTTCAAACAGTAGTCAGTCTATATTCCCCTGTAGAGACAGAGACATTAAGGGAGTTCCCTGCCTGATACTTTCATGTCTGTAAGCTTGTACTCAATTACAAAATCATAGATCATAAAATAGATGCCAGAGCATCTGTTAAAGGGCTTTGTGTCTCTTTTCTTTGTTGGTCTCTGCTATTCTCTTCCTCTCTCTCTCTTCTTTCTCTCTCCCACTCTATCTTCTCTCTCTCTCCCACTCTCTTCTCTCTCTCTCTCTCTCTCTTCTCTCTCTCCCACTCTCTTCCTCTCTCCCACTCTCTTCCTCTCTCTCTCTCTTCTCGCTCTCTCTTCTCTCTCTCTCCCACTCTCTTCCTCTCTCTCTTCTCTCTCTCTCCCACTCTCTTCCTCTCCCACTCTCTTCCTCTCTCTCTTCTCTCTCTCTCCCACTCTCTTCCTCTCTCTCTTCTCTCTCTCTCTCAAGTCTTTCTGGAGACTTCAAGGGGAAAAACACTGGAAAGGGTGTGAACCGATTTCTCATCCCAAAGTGCTTTAGGAGCTGACAGAATATGGGGCTTTTTCAACGCTCAAGTGCACTCAGTGGTGTTTATATTTGGTACTATTTGGCAACTATTCCCCTGTTAACCGACATTAAATAATGTTCCTTAGATTTTTGGGATTTGAGCTCTGAAACTATAGCATACAGAGGGTGTTTGTCAGTTGCATAGCAGACTTGTTTTCTTTAACCACTAATGAAGCAGCATAAATTCAAACCATGAAATCAAGATTCCACAAGGAACTCCAACCAAAGACTTTGGCTTTAGGTGTAGAGAAATAATCTATGCTGAGCTTTGTACTGTGAAATAACATAAACAGTGACGTCTAACCTTAGGTATCCAAAAAAATCTAATGCGTGCAATATAGTAACATAAGGCTCTTCCTGTCTGTCTATCTGTTGTACTTTGGTCGTGTTAACACAGTTAAAGAGTAGATCTATCGGTAGAAGAAGAAAGAAGGCCTCCACACCTGGGGTTCGATCCCTGCCCTCTTGGCAGAGAAGGTGGGTCTGGGTGCCTGGACGCCCGACCGAGGAGAGGCCACTCTCTCCGGAGAGAAGGCAGAGACAGGAGAGGTGATCCTGGGGTCCCTCAGCTGTGGAGTCCCCCCGTGTTGTGGAGGATAGTAATCCCCACCTCCAATTCCTCCTGATGGGGGCTGAAGTGATGGGGACAGGGTAGGCCTGAAGTGGGGCAGGCTGTTGTAGTTGTGTGATGGAGGGTTGGAGGAGGGCACGGAGGCCTGCCTGGAGTAGGCCTCAGCTGAGACCAGGGGTTTGGGTGGTGGCGGGGCCCCCCGGGGCAGAGCGCTCAGCAGGGTGCCTGTAGAGTCCTGGACTGGGTTGAAGATGAACAGGGAGGAGTTGAGCTGGTAGGGCTGGTGCCTGGAGAGTTCCATCTCTATCTTGGTGCAGCCGTTCTCCAGGGGTGGTTCCTCGGGGACCGGGGCCGGGGTTGGAGCCTGCTGGCTAGGCCTCCTGTTCCCAGACTGAGGGGTCTGGAGGGTCTGGGTCAGCCTGGCGCTGAGGTCAGTGTTGTTAGCGATAGCTTTGACCCGGCCAGGCATATTAGATGGGTAGACCCAAGACGGCGGCAGAGACACGGTGGGAGACGGAGACCTCATCTGACCACCTCCACCACCGGAGACATTCTGATTCTCCACTACGTACTTCTGCATCCTGGACTGGCGTTTCGCGAACAGCTCGGCCCCCTTCCCTGATGCGTTGGTCAGGTTCTGCTCTGGCTGGTGCTGCCCTCTGGGCTCCCTGGTCCTGGAGCTCTTGAGACAGGAGGACCACTCCGGCACCTTGGCAGCCTCCGCCTTCACCTCCTCCCTCGCTAGGAAGTTAGAGGCCTCGGCCCCCAGAGCCAGCAGCTCCTCCTCTGGGGCTGGGTCGGGAACGGAGCGGAGGCCGTGCTTCTTCCTATCATCATTCCCCTGGACCAGGGAGAGGAGTTCAGGGTTGGGTGCCATGACATGCTTCTCCTTAAAGGTGAACATGGACTTCCTGGCTGTCGACGATCGTCTGATGGCCGCCGCCCCTTCCTCCAGGATGCCCGTTTTGATTGGCTGCTGCTGGTTCTGTTGGCCAATAGGCTGAGGGGTGAAGGGGACAAAGGTGTTGGGTCTAGGGGAGGTTGGAGGAGGGATGTATCGGGTGACAGGAGGGTTGGGGGGTAGATACTGGGGCACTGGGGCAGCTGTAGGAGGAGGGTTGTACTGGGGGACGGGTGTAGACCTAGGAAACATGACGGTAGACATGGGGGGAGGACTGGAGAGAGACTGGGAGGGAGGAGGAGGATGGATGGGGAAGGCTGGGAGAGGAGGCATGGGGTATGAGGGAGGAGGGGGAGGAGGAGAGAAGACTACAGGGCGAGTGGCGGTGAAAGGAGGCAGAGGGGGAGTGGAGTAGGAGGGAGCTGGGGGAAGGGTGGGGGTAGGATAGGAGGGGGCTGGGGGTATGTTGTTATCCATGACGGGACTCCTTGCCTCTGGGGACTTGGGATGTACGGTGGGTGGGGAGAAGAAGGGTCTGGCTGTCCGGTTGACGATGGTGGGGGTCTGTCTGGACAGGGACATAGAAACTCGCCCGCCATTCTGGATCTCTCCAGCAGAGCCCTGGGTGCTGTGGAAGCCATTACGGGTCTCAGGGGGAGCTGGACCAGTGTTGTTGTCATTTACTGGTATAATCTCATCCTTTACTTCACCCTCAATATCCTCATATATCTCCTCTCTTTCTCTCTCTCCACTCCTCTCTTCCTCCTCCCCTTGTCTCTCGTTCACCGGCTGGAAGTGTCTCTCCTGTATCACTGTATCCACTTCCTCATAGATGTGCTCGTCACCTGGGTCCTCCATGATGTCACTTCCTGTGACCTCACTTCCAGAGGGTGGCGACCAGAGTGGTGGTTTTATCCCGCTGCTGTTCTTCCAGTTCAGTTGTCCGTCTGTCTCTGTCCCCTCACTAGGACCCTCCTTCTCCTCCTCCCATGGCAGGTTGTTGTTCCTGGTATCTCCGTCTCTCTCCTCTCTCTCCACTTCCCTCGTTCTTTCCCCGCAGCTCTCTAGCGTGAAGGCGTTGACCCTCTTCTTGCGGCGGTTGAAGAGCTGGACGCCGCGGGAGTTGGAGCAGCCAGACGGGACGGTCAGCTGGGCCGCGATGATCTGTGACCTCACCCTCGCCTCCTTCAACTCCTTCTCTGATAGGCTGGCACTACGTGTCAGGTCTGGGGGGGGGGGGGATTAGATAGAGAGGGAGAGAAAGTAAGTAAGAGAGAGAGAGGAGGGGGAGAGAGGGATGCAGAAGGAGAGAGAAGGGGAGAGAGAAGGAGTGATAGAGTGATGGAGGAGGGGGAGAGAGAGAGAAATCAAGATTGTTATTTGATGATAGCAACAAAAGCTTTGACAAATTCATTGAACTCATAACCCCAGAATAGACTGGCGACGTGTGTTAGTTAGCTACCATCATTTTTTTCTCACCCATCTACACACAAAACCCCATAATGACAAAGTGAAAACATTTTTTTTTTTTAATTTCTTCAAATTCACTGAAAATGAAATACAGAAATAGCTCATTTACATAGGTATTCACACCGCTGAGTCAATACATGTTAGAATCACCTTTGGCAGTCTCTAAGATCTTTGCACACCTGGATCGTACAATATTTGCACATTATTCTTTTCAAAATTCTTCAAGCTCTGTCAAGTCCCGTGTAGCTCAGTTGGTAGAGCATGGCATTTGCAACGCCAGGGTTGTGGTTTCGATTCCCACGGGGGGTCAGTATGAAAAATGTATGCACTCACTAACTGTAAGTCGCTCTGGATAAGAGCGTCTGCTAAATGACTAAAATGTAAACGTAAGTCGGTTGTTGATCATTGGTAGACAGCCATTTTCAAGTCTTGCCATAGATTTTCAAGCCGATTTAAGTCAAAACTGTAACTAGACCACTCAGGTACATTCAATGATGTCTTGGTAAGCAACTCCAGTGTATATTCGGCCTTGTGTTCTAGGTTAATGTTCCGCTGAAAGGAGAATTTGTCTCCCAGTGTCTGTTAGAAAGCAGACTGAACCAGGTTTTCCTCTAGGATTTTGCCGCTGCTTAGCTCTATTCTGTTTTATTAAATCCTAAAATAAACTCCCTAGTCCTTGCCAATGACAAGCATACCCATAACATGATGCAGCCACCACCATGCTTGAAAATATGAAGAGTGGTACTCAGTGATGTGTTGTTTTTGCCCCAAACATAAGGCTTTGCATTCAGGACATAAAGTTAATTTCTTTACCACCTTTTTAGCAGTTTTACTTTAGTGCCTTGTTGCAAACAGGATGTATGTTTTGGAATATGTTTTATTCTGTTCAGGCTTCCTTCTTTTCACTCTGTCATTTAGGTTAGTATTGTGGAGTAACTACAATGTTGTTGATCGATCCTCAGTTTTCTCCTATCACAGCCATTCAACTCTGTAACTTCTTTACAATCACCATTGGCTTCATGATGAAACCCCTGAGCAGTTTCCTTCCTCTCTGGCAACTGAGTTAGGAAGGACGTCTGTATCTTTGTAGTGACTGGGTGTATTGATACACCATCCAAAGTGTAATTAATAACGTCACCATGCTCAAAGAGACATTTAATGTCAGCTTTTTTGTATTTTTTTAAATAGTTTTTTATCTACCAATAGGTGGCCTTCTTTGCGAGGCATTGGAAAACCTCCCTGGTCTTTGTGGTTTAATCTGTGTTTGAAATTCACTGCTCAACTGGAGGGACCTTACAGATAATTGTATGTGTGGGGTACAGAGATGAGGAAGTCATTAAAAAATGACGTTAAACACTATTATTGCACACAGAGTGAGTCCATGCAACTTATTATGTGACTTGTTAAGCATTTTTTTACTCCTGAACTTATTTAGGCTTGCCATAACAAAGGGGTTGAATACTTATTGATTCAAGACATTTCAGCTTTTCATTTTTTATGAATGTGTAAAAGTTAAAAAAAAACATAATTCCACTTTGACATTATGGGGTATTGTGTGTAGGCCAGTGACACAAAATCTCAATTTAATTCATTTTAAATTCAGGCTTTAACACAATAAAATGTGGAAAAAGTCAAGCGGTGTGAATACATACTGAAGGCATTGCAGCTGTACGATTTAAAAAGCCACATAATTGTTTCTGCTACATATGATTATTATCTGGTGCTGTACTGTGCAATCCCTCCAACCAATGTGGTGGGAGGGAGTTAGTTAGTTAGTTAGTTAGTTAGTTAGTTAGTTAGTTAGTTAGTGGACTGGTTTGGTGTTTCACTGTTCAGACTGGCACTGGTAAGACATAGCTCAGACTGGTCTGTGGACAGTTAAGAGAAAACGTTCAAATAAACACTTTCACAAAAGAGAACAAATATTACAGAACAGGCCTCAGGTCTTAGGTTTAAACGTTTACTGCAGTGGGCTAAATCAGCGTCACACAGAGAGAGTTTCTTAGTCGTCTTAAACAAATCTACTTTGAAACTAAAGTAAACACCTCGTGGTTACGGGCTTAAAAAATAAAAACACCTGTACCATGTCAGATATAACGTTTAAATGTATTCGCTTTTGAGTTTGCATCCCAATATTACACTTTATATACATCACAGACGACTGAAAATATAACAAAACTGTTTGACATAGAAACACCTGATTTTCTGAGGTTTTTTTAAAAATAACATTCCACTCGTGAGGCCACTAGGTCATTTAATTTCAGGAAAGGGCTACAGTCAAAAACGTGATTTTTTTCCCACACTATGGTTGGATTAATATGGATAATTATGATAATGCCCTTTTAGTGTAAGACTGCCTGGAATTTCAGCCTGTTTTGATGGGATGGAGCTTTGGGCTTTCCATGGTGACATCACCATGATGTAAATTAGTTTATAGACCAATAAGGCTCTGTCGCCGCCGGCCACGACCGGGAGACTCATGGGGAGGCGCACAATTGGCCCAGCGTCGTCCAGGGTATGGGGAGGGAATGGCCGGCAGGGATGTAGCTCAGTTGATAGAGCATGGCGTTTGCAACGCCAGGGTTGTGGGTTCGATTCCCACGGGGGGGCCAGTATAAAAAATAAATAAATATGTATTCACTAACTGTAAGTTGCTCTGGATAAGAGTGTCTGCTAAATGACTAAAATGTAAAATGTAATAAGAAAGAGTTCCTAACCTCTCTGCCAATAAAAGCTAGTTTTCAGTTTTCCCCTCCCCACTCAGGCCACTCCCAGCCCCTACCCTGTTATGGTCGGAGTCCGCACCTTTGGAGGGGAGGGGGGGGTACTGTCACGCCCTGACTCAGGGGACTCTTATATGTTGAGTCAGGGTGTGTATATTCTTTGTTGTGTATGTTCTATGTTGTACGATCTAGTATGTATGGTTCTATGTTGGCCGGTGTGGTTCCCAATCAGAGGCAGCTGTCGTTCGTTGTCTCTGATTGGGGATCATACTTAGGCAGCCTATTGGCACTAGTGGGTTGTGGGATCTTGTTCCGTGTGAGGTATGTTGTTTGTGTCTACCTTGGACTTCACGTTTCGTTTAGTTTGTCGTTGTGTTTATTCAGTATAATAAACATGTATGCATATCACGCTGCGCCTTGGTCCGTCCTGTCCTTCAACGAGCGTGACACTAGCAAAATTCTTGCTTGAGAAATTGGTCTTTGCTAAGAAGCTATTTTTGTTCCTTTTTGCCAATTTTATTGAAAACAAACACAGTAAGGTACTTAGACAATGTGATAAAAGAAACAACAGTGTTTCTGTTGAAAATGGAGGCTTGGTTTATTGTCTGAGTTTAAGAGCCCCGTTCAGAGCAGGAGAAAGTATTTCCTCTTTACCATCTGCACTGGTCCCTTGCCAAGCATTCCTCAGCAGCTGAGAAAATTCCCTGTCCACGTCCCAAATGGCACCCTATTCCCTACATAGTGCACTACTTTTGACCAGGGCCCTATGGGGCACTGTATATAAGGAATAGGATAGGGAATAGGGTTCTATTTGGGACCAATGCCCTGCCTCATTCAGTCTCTGAGTCTCAGGCATGCCTTTATAATGTCTTCAAGGCTGTAGATCAACCCTTTATTAATCATAAACCATTTCAGCCACAGGTCTATGTACCTCGCCATTTCAGCCACAGGTCTATGTACCTCTCCATTTCAGCCACAGGTCTATGTACCTCTCCATTTCAGCCACAGGTCTATGTACCTCTCCATTTCAGCCACAGGTCTATGTACCTCTCCATTTCAGCCACAGGTCTATGTACCTCTCCATTTCAGCCACAGGTCTATGTACCTCTTCCATTTCAGCCACAGGTCTATGTACCTCTTCATTTCAGCCACAGGTCTATGTACCTCTCATTTCAGCCACAGGTCTATGTACCTCTCATTTCAGCCACAGGTCTATGTACCCTCTTCCATTTCAGCCACAGGTCTATGTACCTCTCCATTTCAGCCACAGGTCTATGTACCTCTCCATTTCAGCCACAGGTCTATGTACCTCTCCATTTCAGCCACAGGTCTATGTACCTCTCCATTTCAGCCACAGGTCTATGTACCTCTCCATTTCAGCCACAGCTAAATGTACCTCTCCATTTCAGCCACAGGTCTATGTACCTCTCCATTTCAGCCACAGGTCTATGTACCTCTCCATTTCAGCCACAGGTCTATGTACCTCTCCATTTCAGCCACAGGTCTATGTACCTCTTCATTTCAGCCACAGGTCTATGTACCTCTCCATTTCAGCCACAGGTCTATGTACCTCTCCATTTCAGCCACAGCTAAATGTACCTCTCCATTTCAGCGACACAGGTCTATGTACCTCTCCATTTCAGCCACAGGTCTATGTACCTCTCCATTTCAGCCACAGGTTATGTACCTCTCCTTTCAGCCACAGGTCTATGTACCTCTCCATTTCAGCCACAGGTCTATGTACCTCTCCATTTCAGCCACAGGTCTATGTACCTCTCCATCACCAGTATCCTGGAGGGAAGTTGGAAATGCCTTAAAATATCCCTCCTTGAGGCGTTTCATGCATTCACTGAATGGAATGTGAGGAAATCGCTACTGTGTGTGTGTTCTTCCGATCAATTGTTAGATAGCCAATCACAAACAAACCTCACTGACTATTGTAATTGCTAATCACGTATCTTTCGGTGATGCATACCCATACCATGACTATTCCGTTTTCCATCCTGAGCTCCTGGTTTTAGTAGGTGAAGA